GTGGGGGCTGAGGGAGAGCGCTCAGGCGTCGGCGCAGCTGACGCTGTGGGGAGACCGCCTGGCGCCCTGGCCTTGTGCCTTTCATCGGGGATTGCGGGCCTTTGGGTCCTGGCTACTAAGCACCGCCCTCTTGGGAAACACTTGCCTTCTCTCGCCAACGGTTCCTGGCCCCGTCCGTGGTCTGTAGCGCCTGCGGAGAGATGGTTCAAAAGCGGAGACTGGCCCCGCCCGCGTAGCTCAGGGGCTGAGCATCGACCTAGGATCCAGGAGACCGCGGTGCCACGTTCAGGGCACATGCCCGGGTGCGGCTCGACCCCCAGTATGGGGCACGCAGGAGGCAGCCGATCGATCCCTCTTTCAGTATTGATGTTTCTATCGCTTTCCCTCTCCCTTCCTCTCTGAAATCAACATTTAAAAAAAAAAAAAGGAGACCGGTGTGGGGGTTGGTGGAAGAGGGGATACATGATGGTGGAAAAATAAAAAAATTTAAAAAGTGGAGACTAGCACCTGAGTCCAGACCCTGGAAACCCCTTGTTCTGGCTGCCGGTCAGTTTTGCCAACAGGTATTATTTTGGCTTGTTGTTTTTTTTTAATCCTCACCCGAGGATATTTTTTCGGTTGCTTTTCAGAGAGAGTGGAGGGGGGGAGACATCCACTGGTTGCCTCCCACATGCCCCGACGGGAGCTGGGGATCCAAGGTGTGCCCTTGGCGGAATGGAACCAGGGACCCTTCAGTCCCCGGCTGGAGCTCTAACCAGGGGGCAATCCCGCTAGGGCTCCAGCAGGAATTATTAGCGACTTGGCCGCACAGTTACATGACCTCACTGCCAACTATGACTCAACCGCTGGCGCTTCAGCCGACCTGCAACTCAGTTAGGCTGGGGAGGTCCTCGCAACTTAAGATTCCATGCCTTGAATTTTCGTTTTCTGACACATTCCATCAATCCTCCTGCCTCACCCTTCAGTTTAATTCAAAAAACACTTATGGAGCCCCACGATATGCCTGGTACTGTAAGTTACTGGATTTGTCCTCACAAAACTCAGTTTGGTGGGAAAGACAGACCTGTGAAGCGGGAGATAAAACGCAGTGCCTGAGTGCAGTGACAGGGATATCTAAGGGTGCTACCGAACCTACCGCACGCAGGGCTTGGGGGAAGGCTCTCCTGAAAGAAATCATGACAAAATTGGGTTGTAAAGGTTAGGAATAGGGATTGGGGTACAAGAGGCAGAGTGGGAGTTCAAGTTTAAAAAACAATGCAGAGGAACTGCCAGCCATTTAAAATACTGCGGTTTAAAGTGTGAATGGAGGTGCCTAGAGGGAGGTTGGAGCTAAGGCCACAGAGGGCTTTGCTTTGTATATAGGCTAAGGACTGCATCTTGGAAGTGAAGGTGCAACATATGAGGGCACAATCTCAAAATCCATTGATGTGAACTGATATAAATTATAGTATGACATACCAATCAAATAATTATATTGAGCCATCCAGATGTTCTCATACATCGTCTTCATGAAGACAGGAAAGAGAGGAAGTTCTACAGCTCTTAGTATCTTTATTTTGATAGGATATACTCCTTCCTCTCTGGCTTTCTATATTCCTAAGACTGTTGATGGCTTTGTCAGGACAATACAGTGGAGACTCCCAAGTAGTCCAGATTGCTTAGAGTCTTACCCATTTCTCAAACTTTATTGATTGTGAAGTCTCTTCCTGGCCACTGTCTATGGCTAACTCCACCCAAAAAGAACCACCAGAATAACTGTTCTAGTAAAACCAAGCGTCTCACTTACTGCACGAAGGCAGAACACTATTTTTTAATCTTCACCCGAGGATATTTTTTCCACTGCTTTTCAGAGAGAGTGGAAGGGGGAAGAGAGAAACATTGATTGGTTGCCTCCCGCATGCCCCCCACTGGGGATCAAGCCCACAACCCAGGCATGTGCCCTGACCCGGAGCCAAACCCACAACCTTTTTGGTGTATGGGATGACCAACCAACTGAGCAACCCGGCCAGGGCTCTACAGGTAAGTTTTATAAGCCATATTTAGATAGCATTGAGGAGGAGGGGATGAATTTAGACAAGGAATGGTATTGTTATATGAGGAACCATGATCCAAATTTTATTGACTTGATTCATTCAATCAACAACTATGAAGCAACTACTATGCCCCAGGTGTTGTTACAGATGCTGGGAACATAGAAACATGACAGACAAGATTCCTGCTCACCTTGGAGTTTGTACTCTAGTGTGTGATAGTTAATGTTATGTATCAACTTGGAGGGTGCTTTGTTCTGTAAATAGAGAAATAATACATACTTAGATTCAGAATAGAAATATTAATGTTCTTTCTAAAGCTTTTTGTGATCTCCATTTTATACTTTCAAAATACACTCATAAAACAATGAATTTGAGATTAAAGGGTGACCACATCTGTGATTTCCCTCTAGAAGTGTCTTCTGAGGTAGTGTTCAGTTTCCCAACAAGGCAGACTTGCTATTCCTCAGGAAAATTCCTTCTCCTTGTCATAAAATTTGCTTCTTGTTAATTTCACAACCAGTTATAGTTCTGTCTTCAGTGTTTATCCTCTGCCTTAATAAATAATGAAATTGTGTAATTAATGTTTTATTCCTTTCCTGTTATTTTTATCTTCACAAGTGACTTCATATATGCTTCATGAGAAATATATTTCATTGATCAACCTTTATGAGGAAGGTTCTTCATAAACCATTTCTTGCACAGACTTCTCAGATTGTTTATGGACTATTATTGTCAGTAATCCCCCTCATCCGCTGTTTCACTCTCAGCAGTTTGTTACAGCCGTGGTCTAAAAATCTTAATG